GGGAGAAAAAAAAAAGAACCCATTTTAAGGCTTTTCAGAGGCTCTCTGAACAATAGCTGAGTCACTGAACTGGAAACATACACAGATTTATTTTATCTATTAGGTTAGGGGCGGCCTGGCATTGCCTCTCCTCCTCTTTGGAAACAGGTTACTTTGTTCCTTCCTCATAGTATTCACCTTCTGTGAAAATCACAGTGGATAAACGCAGAGCTCCAGAGTAATAGCTGCTCATCACCCAGCAGTCTGCTTTGGTGTCTAATAGGACAGTCACTTTGAGTCTAGCTGAAAGTTCTTTGCAAAAAATCAAGTGAAGCTATTGAGAACTGAAGAATCAGAATGGAACCCAGCTGTGCAACGATGCTTGAGCACTAGACTACATTAGAAAAGCTGTTATTATAGCCCTGGCCGTGTGGGTCAGTTGGTTGCAGCATCGTCCCCTACACCAAAAGGTGGAAGGTTCAATTCCTGCTCAGGGCACATACCTAGGTTGTGGGTTCAATCCCTGTTTGGGGGCATGAATGGGAGGCAACTGATTGATGTTTCTCTCTCTCTCTCTCTCTCTCTCTCTCTCTCTCTCTCTCTCTCTCTCTCGTCTTTCCCTTTCTCTTGCTCTAAAAATCAATTAAAAAGCATATCCTCAGGTGAGGATTAAAAAAAGAAAATCTGTTATCATTCACACCTCCTTAACAAATTAAAGAAAAAACATTTTATTACATAAAAACTGTAAGATCATAGCAGATATCCAAGACCTACAGCATAAATCTTACAAATGCATACGATTTACAGTAGATGTAGAAAAATTCAATATCCGTTCTTTTAAAAAAGTAAAACCCTTCTTAGCCAAACACTTGCATAACTCAATAAAAGGTATACTGCAAATGCCCCGACAGACATCCTTAATAACAAAACGTTAAAAGCGCTCCCTTTAAATAAGGAGCAAGGCCAGCATCCTTCCACTGCCACCTGTCATCAACGCTGGACAACAGCAAGAGGCCTGCCCAGGCCTCACACTTCACTGCCAGCCACGATGAAAGGACACAGGCTCCTCCTCCCCGACCAGCACCGGCCGTTTGTGCTACAAGTGCCCCTCTTTGCTGTGGGCATGAGTCCCTCTGCCTTATCATTTGAACTGTGGTTGCTGGTGGACTACATAGGCTGGTGATATGCCCAGGAGGCCTGGGTTTTACTGTCCGATGGTAACAGAAAAGGGCAGCAAGATTAGTACAAGTTATAGCTTCACTGCAACTCCAGAGCAGGTCCCTGTACACAGGACCGCAGAGGAGCACACACACAAAGGAAACTCCATGTGACACCAGATTTCACATCTTTTATCTTATACTCTTCACTCAAAATACTAGCTAGAACCTTTTCCCTCCTTTTCTCTTAAATTTGATCATTTTAATCAGCAACCAATAGATAAAAATATGGAATATATGAGTAATATAATTAACAACTTGATTTAAAACAAGTTGTACCTTGCACAGAGAATGCAAATGCTTTTCCTTTTTCTCCAAATTAGATTTATTTATCCCCAAAATTCTAGATTTTATTGTCTTCCCTAAGCCAAAGCTATAATAAAAGGCAAATTCATACCTCTAAATGCTTTCATTATCAACCAAGCAAGGACAAACTTAAATTAACAAAGATTTTTATTAGGAAGAAACCAAGGAAGTGTACAAAAAGCAGGATGAAAGGACAATAAAGATAAATCAGAAACAAATTAATCAGAAACAGATGAACAGTGGAACTGATAAGTTACTCTGACTGGGTTTTGTATTCATAAAACATCGAGTGACATACTCCCTTCCCTGAATAGGAAGATAAAAATTTTTAAGTATGTCAATACCAGTTTGTATGCATGGCCAAACGTACATAAACTGGGGAAACGTCTCAAGACATATTAGTACAGCAAAATGTTAGCAATATTTTATCAAGCAGTTAGATTAAAGGTAATATTTTCTTTATACTTTTCCATATTTTAAAGCCTTCTGTAATGAATATGCAGTTTATGACCAGAAAAAAATAAGCTATTGTTTTAAGATGCCAAATTAATTTTCATTGACATATTTAATGTAATAACAATATAAATAGCAAAGAAATAGATGAAGGACCGATGGAGAATTTAAAAAAGGTCTCCTAGGAGATTAAACATTTTGTAATGGGATAAGGGAAGGGGACTATTCCACCACAGATGTCACAACTTAGTGGAAAGCTACAATTACCAACCACAGTCTGAATGGGCACTTGGCTAGCGCCTTCAATGAAACTGCTTCCATGCTTCAATAAAATGCTGTGAATTTAGGACATAGACAAGGATAAAGCTCCCAACACTATCCACTACTTAGCTCATTACACAGCCCAATGACGAAATCAGGTTTTTCCTTAAAAATAGTCACAACCCTGAAGTAGGTGAGAAGGTGTTTTCAACTGCATTCACCGAGGAACACCTAAATCACAGACCCAGAGCTCAGAGAAAATGGGACACAGGAAGCTACCTGCCCATAACTGTCCAGCACTCCTCTGTGAGTGGGCAGAATCCTACCTAATAAAAAGTAATATGCAAATTGACTATACCTCCACTACACCCACAAGCCAATCAGGAGCGAATATGCAAATAAACTCAATCAAGATGGATGTGGCCACAGAGAGCAGGAGGGAGGCTTGGGTTTCCCCAGCAATGAAGGAAGCCAAGCTTTCTGCCTGCCCTTGCCGGCCTAGACTTCCACTCAAGGCTACAAAGTTTCAGTGATAGAAGATAAATAAATCCCAACAAAAAAGGCAGCAGCCACAGAGTTGGAGAGAGCAGGAGGCTAGGGTTTCCCTGGGTGGTGGAGGAAGCCAAGCTTCTGTAGCCCTGGCGGGCCTAGGCCTCCACTCCAGGCTACAAAGTTTCAATTGTACAAGATAAAAAAAATCCCAGATACCAGGGCCTCCACTTGGGTTGCTGAGGGGCATGGCGGCCTGCAAACCATCACAGGCTCCTCACCCAGGCCACCCAATGCCCTAAGGAAACCCCCACCCATGTACCAAGCCTCTATCCTATCTAATAAAAGAGTAATGCAGATTGACCATAATTCCAACACACAAGATGGCTGCCCCCATGTGGTCAAAGATCCTGCCCCCCATGTGGACACAAGATGGCCACCGCATGATGGCCAGCAGAGGAGGGCAATTGGGAGGGACCAGGTCAGCAGGGAGAGCTGTTGGGAGGAACTAGGCCTGCAAGGGAGGGCAGCTGGGGGTGATCAAACCTGCAGGGGAGGGCAGTTAGAGGTGACCAGGCTTGTAGAGGAGGGAAGTTGGGGGTGACTGGGCCTGCAGGGAAGGGCAGTTGAGGGGGGGGGGGAGAAGAACCCAGGCCTGCAGGGGATAGCAGTTGGGGGAGACCAGGCCTGCAGGGGAAGGGAGTTAGGGGTGACCAGGCCTACAGGGGAGGGCAGTTAGGGGCAATCAGGCTGGCAGGGGAGCAGTTAGGCATCAATCAGCTTGGCAGGGGAGTGGTTAGGGAGTGATCAGGCTGGCTGGCAGAAGCACTTAGGGACAACAGGAAGACAGGTAGGCGAGCAGTTGGGAGCCAGCAGTCTTGGATTGTGAGAGGGATATCCAACTGCCCATTTAGGCCTTATCTCACCAGGATGGGGCCTAATTGGGCAGTCGGACATCCCTCGAGGGGTCCCAGATTGGAGAGGGCAAAGGCTGGGCTGAGGGACACCCTCCCCCATGCACAAATTTTGTGCACCTGGCCTCTAGTATTTTATAACCACTATCAATCTTTATCATATAACACAGTTCCAAACTAATTAAAGGATTATTTTTTTAATGAAAGAAGTGATGATTCAATTTGTGATCTTGTGTTGAGGAAGATATTTCCAAGCAAAAAAGGTGAGGAAAAGAGGAAATGGAAACCAGATCCAAATGACCCACCAACTTGATGTCAACTGTTGGCAAGGTGCAGGGGGGACAGACTGGGGTCATGTGTCTGCAGGGCAATCTTGCTAAATGCATTGGAAGGTTTTAAAATGGTCATACTCTAAAACAAGAAGTCACTGTCCAGAAATTTTTTCTAAGGAAATAATGAGAGATATAAAATATGCATTTACAGTATCAAAAGACTGGACAAGAACACAAACATTCAACAGGCAACTAGTAAAGTATATGCAAAATATTTACAGAATAGAATACTATCTGGTCTTTAAAATAATGTACCAAAGAATGATAATGACAATATGCTCAGAAAATGTTACATTTTTAAAAATTAACAATGTATACAGGGTGATTCTTCAAAAAAATGTTTAACTTGTGGGAAAAACATAACATATATCAAGAAAATACCAAAATACTGGTTATATTATTACTTGGTGGGGAAATTTGGGGTGACTTTAATTTTCTGTTACTAGCATCCCAACCATGCTGACAGACATGGATAATTCTCGCTAATTTTTTGTTGTTTTTGTTTTTATTGATTTTTAGAGAGAGGAAAAGAGTGGGATAGAGACATGGAAACACTGAGGAGGAGAGAGAATCATTGATCAGCTGCCTCCTGCATATCGCTAACTGGGGATTGAGCCTGCAACACAGGCATGTGCCCTGACTGGGAACTGAACCAGTGGCCTCTTGGTTCATGGGTTAATGCTCAACCACTGAACCACACTGGCCAGACACTCTCACTCATTCAGCTCACTGTCACTTCTTTCAAAAAGTCCTCCTGCACTGCCCTCCTTTACCCTACATATTCTAGGCGCTCCTCCTTGGCACCAGACTCTGGGCTGTCCTTCATCCCTGCATCACACTGGCTGATTAGATTCACTATGTCCCCACCACATTTGGAACTGCCTATAGTCAGAAACTGGGGGTATTTCATTTTTGTATCTCCAATCTGTCTGGAATCTAACAGAATGAACATGACTAAGCAAAAGATTCTCTGTACTCTCTGAATTTAAAGACCAAGGAGGAAGTGTTAACAAGGAGGAGCAAATACTGATAAAGAGGTGTCTCCTTACCTTGGCTAGTAGACTTGAAACATGTTTAAGGTCACCATGTGCCTTTAGTAATTCTTGTTTGAGCTCAGTGCAAGACAGTTCCAGCTGATCTTTCTCAGCTCGAGCTGCTTTCAGCATTTCTTGAATTTCACAGCCCTCTGCCGTCTGCCCCACAGAACTGGCCTCCATAGCTTTTTGCTTCTCATTCTCCAAGTGAGCCTTCAGAGACCCGTTTTCCAGCTTCAGCCCTTCCAGGGTCACTGTGCACTCTTCCAGAGTCTGGGCCATCACGCTGCTGTTCTGCTGTTCCCGTTCCAGAAACCCATTCAGTCTTTCGTTTTCTTCCTTCAGGTGTTTGATCATCTCTAACGCCCCTTGATTTTCCTCCTCAGCCTTCCTCAAGCTGCAGGTCAGCTGCTGCTGAATGTTGAGAAGTTTCTCCCTTTCGAAGCGGCCCTGCTCCAGGATCTCTGTGCACTTCTGCTCTAGCTCCAGGACTTTTCCTTCCTGAGTGCTGGGCTCCTCCTTCTTGACTCGCTCTTGTAAGAGATTTATCAGCTTCTCATTCTCATGACTTAGCTGCTCTGCCCTCTCTCGATGCTGATGAAAGGAAGTTTCCAAAATCGTCTTCTCGTCCACCAGCTTCTCATTTTCCGCTGTCAATTCCTGCACCATTTGTTGCTGGTCTGACAATTCCTGTAGAGTAGCCTGCAGTTCTTCTGCTGTGCTGTGATGATTTTCCTCCATCTTTTGTATCTTCTCCGTGAGGGAGGCCAGGGACAGCTGGCTCGCGTTGTTGGGGGAACTCCCGGTGGTGGAGCACCGGGAGCTCTTAAAGGCGCTGCCCGTGGAAGACAGGGGCCGAGAGGGGGTGTCCGCCGTGATGTGCTCAAAGTCGGAGGCATCCGGCGACAAAGAAGCTTTGGTGACATCGCTACTTGAAGAGCCCGACGTCCGTAACACACTTTGGGGGGCGTGTTTTTTACACTCATCTACCTCACCTGACAGCGGGTTCCCAGGAGGGCTCCCCAAGCTTGACTCCTGGGTGATGGATGTTGGACAGCTGCTGTCACCGGTGTGGCTGGAAGCCCCTTCTGAGCTGGGTGAATGCTCAAAATAGCTCAGTTTCTCCTTCAAGGCCCGGTTTTCCTCCTCTAGATCGGCAAGCTCTTTCTGAAAATTCTTGTTCTTCTCCTCAAGAGCTTGTATCAAAGGCTCAGAGTCACCTGGTGAGACTGATGCTCCGTCCACCTTTGGGTCCAGAGCGTCGCTCCCTCCAGTGTTCGGAGTCCTTTTCTCCCTGCATTTCCTCAGTTCACTCCGAAGCCTGCTGATTTCACCGTCTTTGGCTTTGGCCTCTGCCAAAAGCTCCCGAACGTGGGCCTCGAGCACAGCCTTTTCTCCACCTTCGTTCTCCGGCTTGGGCCTTGCGGACGTGGGCCTCTGGTGCTTGGTAGGGGTGGGTGCACTGGAAGAAGTTGGACTAGACACCGATTTCTTTGGGTTGGAGGGACCACGTGGCACAGTTCTCTCTCTTGAGATAGTTGCTGAAAGTTCTCGAGGAGCTGGAATGCCTGTGCGTTTGGTTGTTGTCACAGACCCTAGAGACAAAAATAGAAATCAATGAAGCGAAGCGAGCCCTTTATAAAAGAAGCCCAAGCAGAAGCTGTCGCCCTTCATCCACTTCCTCCTCCTCTAGATAACCGCCCAGTCTGACTGGGGTTTCCGTAACGCCTCCCAGAGCCCCCTCTTGAGGGGAAGCTGACTCCCAGCCTGGGTGACTCAGAACATCCCATCCCCAGCCATGGTTGGTGGCTCAAGGCTGGGGCACACCCCGCAACTAAGGAAAGGTTTTCTGGGTGAGCTTCTGAAAGATGGCTGGACGTGCGGGAGACATCAGCTAAGCCTGGGACTGGCTGGAACCATCCTGACATCATGAGAGGAGGGTGAGAAGCACAGAGTAGAAAAGACAACAGAACTCGTGGCAGCATTATGGGTGTGGTAACTCAATCAACCCTCAGGCGTGGCCGATGGCTGGCCTTCCGATTACACAACCAACAAATACCTTCATGGAAGTCACCTTGCATGGGGCTTTCTGTAACATGCAACTTAATACATGTGAACTGATAACCTTGGCAAATGAGTAACAGTCTTTTGACAAAATAAACTTTCATATGAATTTTTCAATAAGTACTTAAAAATTAATCACTAATATATTTATACTGAGCAAACTAAGAAATCAAAAGACATAAATAATCCAATGGAAGACTGATCTGATCCGGTGACCTATTGCTTTTAATGTAAATGGTGTGCTCCTTTGTAACAATGGATAACAAGAACACATGGGATAGCGGCATATTATATATCTCTAAGGTATAGCTTAAATGTTAAAGGGATTTATATAATATGGAAATTATATGGAATTTAGAACTTATAATGGTAAATGTATGAAATTATCTTTCATTTTCATTTATACTTCTACACTATAATCATTTTAAAATTTTCATCCATACTACATTTAAGCTTTCATTTATGCTATTATTAAAGACAATGTTGAAAAAAAAATGTACGAGTGACATCACTCTCATATGATCTGGAAATGAAAACCCACCTTAAAGGTTAAAATGTAAATGAACCTGTTTTACAAACTCAAAGACCAACTGATGCTAAGGCTGCTTGCTGTGACTTATGCAGGCGTGCTCCTAGGGCTGGCGGTCGCCAGCCTCTCGGCCTCTACAGTGGAGCAGAGGCTGGGGCAAGGGGATGCCGCTCAGCTCAGCAGAGCCCAGCACAGCAGCTCTAACCACCACCTGCCCTTACTCAGGCGGAGCTACTGGAAATCGAACGTCTTGAAGTCTGTGGTAATGACAGCATTGTTGCTAACTCTCTGACATCTGAGTGCTTTCAAAACGTTGACATAATAGCCGGGACCGGTTTGGCTCAGTGGATAGAGCGTCGGCTTGGGGACTGAAGGTTCGATTCCGGTCAAGGGCATGTACTTTGGTTGTGGGCACATCCCCAGTAGGGGTGTGCAAGAGGCAGCTGATCGATGATTCTCTCTCATCGATGTTTCTAACTCTCTATCTCTCTCCCTTCCTCTCTGTACAGAATCAATAAAAAAAAATATATTTAAAAAAAATAAAATAAAAAAATAAAACGTTGACATAATAAAGGCTAAACTGCAATAATAATATACAGGAAAACTATGGTTTTTATAGTAACTTTTCAAATTAAGTGACTGGAAAGCTAAGAGCACTCTACAACACACATCTAATGCTTTCAGGTGTCCAGATGCCTTACCGGCAACCTGCCAGACAGGCATCAAAAAGGAGATTTAATTATTCTTTTTTAATCCTCACTGAGGATGTTTATTGATTTGAGGGAGAGAGGGAGGGAGAAAAGAAAAAGGGAAGGAAGAAGGGAGGGAGGGAGGCAGGCAGGGAGAGTGCAATGTGAGAGAGAAACATGGATTGGTTACCTCCAGTACAGGTGCTGACCAGGGATAGAATCCTTAACCTTGTTTTGTATGAAATGATGTTCCAAGCCACCGAGCCACTCAGCCAAGGGCTAATTGTTCTTGTTACATAAAGATTAAAATCACTAAGCAATAACATGTTTTAGAATCAACAGTCCCCTAAAGTGAAGTAATCTTGGCCAGGACCATAATGAAAACTATAAGATAATTAAAGTTTCACCACAACTATAATCAGACTAGGCAAAACTGAGAGTACAGACTGATGATCACAGAGGTATTTGCCATGCCTAATAATGCTATGAAAATTAAGGCTCCTTTTCAATTATTGGATTTGACGATGGGAAGAACTAAAATAAGAGAGATGAACTCTGTCATCATTTCCAGCGACAGTTTAACTCCTTCCTTTAGCTGCCAAATCTTAGTTTGTTCTCCACTTAGGTGTTACTTAACTTTTTTAAAATTACTAGGAATAATTTTTTTTTTTATAACAAACCAAAGCACATTTATGAAACATATCCAGTTGTGGATTGTAAAACACATTACCTAGCCAGAGACTGTGCCTGTGGCCTGGGAGAGGGGCAATCCACATGCCTGCAGTCCTGGGCACAAGTGTTGGGGCTGCAGCCCAGGAGAGGGACAAGCTCCTGCCGCGTGGTCCCGGTGCCAGTGCCTGCACCTGCAGCCCGGGAGAGGGACAGGCCGCCTGCCCATAGTCCTGGGTGCCTGTGGCTGCCGCCCAGGCAAAGCCACCCACCCACGGTCCCCTGCAGCTGTAGCTGACCTGGGCAAAGCCAGGTGGGTCCTGGGTGCCTGCAGCCAGCCAAAGGAGGGAATCCTGGGTCCTGGGTGCAAGGCTAGGCAGAGGCTTTTAGGGGCAATCAGGCCGGCAGGGGAACAGTAAGGGGCAATCAGGCTGGTAGGGAGCAGTTAGGGGCGATCAGGCAGGCAGGTAGAGGGGCTAGGAGTGATCAGGCAGGTGAGCGGTTAGGAGCCAGGGGTCCTGGATTGGAAAGGGTGCAGGCCGGGCTGAGGGGACCCCCTCCCATGCACGAATTTTCTGCACTGGGCCTCTAGTAATTTCAGAAACTGTAATTAGCAGAGGTAAAGTTTAGAAGTTGTTAAAATTCATCATCATACCAAACTAAGGTTGGTGTTTGGCTGCTCACTCCCCCATTTTGGGCCTAATTCTGCCCCTAGACACACCTCGTCATGGGCACTGGTGGGTAAGAGTAAAGCAGTGGCAGTGCTACGGCTTATGGTGTAATCAGTCAGCAGGGTTCTACCCTCAGTCTCCTTCCAGTACTGTGGGTTCAGCAGCCTCACTGCTGAGCAACACATCTGGAGCCTTGAAACTGGGCACGCAATACTCCATGGCAGAAGTGACGGCAGAGTGTGGACACACAGGGCCAAAGGGGCCGGACTTCTGTCTTTCCCATCCTCACCCCGACCGGCACTTATTCCTACTCAGGTTGGTTGTCTGACTGCAAGATGTGAAAATAAAAGCGAGCTCCACCCAACAAGATAATTTATTGTTAAGAAATGTTTGATATGTTACATTTTTAAAGGCCAAATTAAAACATATTATAGTGCAGTAGACACACCTAGGAAGGAACGTACAATACTGAGAACAGATGAGTATTAAGTAGGTTGGACTTTGCATTATTTTCCTGCTTCTTTATTTTACAGTTATATTTATGCAATGAATTAAAAAAAAAAAAAAAACCAGGAGGGAAAAATCCTACCATAACAATATACAGAGAGATAAAGGTATAGTAAAAAGAAATCTTTTCAGAGAACATAACAATAGCATGATCATCTATCTGTAATAATAACAGGGTAATTATTCCAGACATCCTTCCTGATGAAGCTGGGGCAAGAGGGAACTGGCCCGGGTCCCAGTGCCTGCGGGTGGCTGGAGGAGGGAAGTAGTCCGGGTCCCAGTGCCTGCGGGCAGCCCGAGGGAAGCCAGCCTGATCCTGGGTGCCTGCGGGTAGCTGGAGGAGGGAAGCAGCCTGGGTGCCAGGTGCCAGCAGCTGGGGAATGAAGGCAGGCCCGGCTGGCAGCCCGAAGGACCCTATCGGCCCTGACCTCCAGCCAAGCCTAGGGACCCTAACCGTGCATACATTTCATGCGCTGGGCCTCTAGTTTAAACCATAAAACAGGTGACACTTTTAAATAGTGATTTTTATGAACTGAAATAAAATATTTTCAGGCCCGTTTTAATGTCCTCATCTTACCCAAAGAACAAGCTACTGGGGTTTTCTCTGGTAGGTCTTCTGTCTAATATGCACTGATGAAGGGTAGCTTTCTGAAATAAATGATCAATCCTTCATTTATTCAACAAGAATTCACAGTGTTTGCTCAGTGGGATACACAAATGAAGTTCACCATCTTCACATACCACTCGACTGCTGACTTGTCTCCTAGACACAAGAGAACTTGCTCACTCTGAGTCTAAACCATTGGGATATTTCTTCATTATCACTCCACATAATTTTTTTTTCTCAAAAAGTTCCAATAATTTCTGTATGGTCAAACCTAATTTCCTCCCTTAGTCACCAGCCTTCTCAACTTTTTCAGTGGCAGTTGACTTTCAGTATCCGTCCCTTCTTCCCTTCATTCTTTTTATTCATGTCTGACAGTGGCACTAATGAATTTTTTAGGTTCCCCCATTCAAGGAACCTTAAAAACATATTTAAACCTTCCTTTAATTTACTAAAATCTACGAACTGTTTTTTAGAAATGATTCAGTATTTTTCCTTTTCTTTCACTATAAATCTAGTCCAGATCCTCTGTCTAAATTTCTAAAACATTCTCCCACCTTATCAAATCCCTTAAAAAATTCACTCATTTTTCTGTTCACGAACTTGTATATATTTCTTCTCATCTGCTGCATAATGTTAAACTTATTTCCTTGGCTTTCAAAGCCACATGTGATCTCTAACCAACATATCCAACCTTTTCAACTTCTATGGTCTTTTCCTTCCCTAGCACACCCATTCACCTCTAGCGAGAGTCCTCCCTGTCCCCAGTATACTTGAGATTTCTTGAAATATCATTCCCTTTCCACTGTATCTTTCTGACTGGCATTTAAACTAGCTTAATTCCCTCCAATTAAACACACAC